TGGCTTTGCAGGCCCCACCTAGCGTCGTCAACCCTGGGCCACAGGCCTAGAAGTGGGGCAGCTGCATCCGGACACACAGGACCCACATTCCCAGGTCTGTGCTGCTGGATCAGACACCCTGAGGGCCCCACAGGGGGAGGCCGGCCAGATCGGGGGCTGCGTGGCGCTGGGGGGGCAGCAGGCTTGCACATTAGGCCATGGGGGACGCCCAGGCTCACTGGTGGGGTTGGCCAGCGGTGGCCCCCGGAGCATGGATGCGCTGGCGAAACTGAGGTCCGTCACCCACAGAGTGAGGTGTGAGGAGGGGGCAAGGCTGGCGATGCCCGCCTGGCTGGGGGAGGAGCACTCGGCTGCACCTGCCACGCTCCACCAGGGGGCCTGCGCACCAGCCCCAAGTGCGTCTCTGATGCCCGCCCACCTGGCCTAAAGCCTACTCTGGTGACACGTCTGGAGCCTCCTTTCAAGGCCACCACGGGGTTCACAGTCCCCACTGTGGCCTATGTGGCTCCTAACAGCCAGCGGGTTTTCTCTCTGGCCTCGGCCACTCCAGGCGCAGCCAACACCCGCCACCAGACTCACCTGTCGCAAGAGGGACACGGTTATAATCGGTGTCTTCCTCGCACCCCTGGCGTGGCTCCCCCGCCAGCCCGCCTGACCCAGCCCACTGCAGACCTGCAGACAAGTGGGGCCCGCATGGGGCACCCCAGACCCTGAGAACGAACGCCATGTGAATCCCTGGGACTCAGCCTTCAGTTTCTGAGCCAGCCCCGCGACCCCTCTGCGACCCTTTCCGGTCGTCCAGGCTGCCTGCCTCACCCCAAAGCCCCTCCAGCCCTGGCCCCCAGGCGTGCTCTCCCTGCACTGACGGCAGGCGAGCAGCAGACACTCTGTGCTTTTAGCCCCGGCCCCAAGCCAGGGAGCCACACCGAGAACGAACGTAAGGTTTCAGGCAGCGTGGCCGTGGCGGGTGTCTGGGGTGAAGAGGAGGAGCGGGGTCGTAGAACAGGGGTCGCAGCGGGGGCTGGTAGGCATGGCAGGGCCCCGAGCCAGATCTGGGGCAGGGCCCGCGGGGAGCCTCCCTGGGACAGCGGGCGCTGCTCCCACAGTAAAGGATACACCATAGATGACCAAGTTCCAGTTAGGCGGCAGCAAGGGGACGAAGATACCGAAGTTGGCGAAGGCCAAGATGAACAGCATGGTCCAGGCCACCGCCTGGAAGGTGTGCAGGGGCCACGACCAGCCATTCACTCTGGACCAGCGGCGGGGCGAGGCCTGCTTCCTGCTGGCTTCCCGCAGGGCCCCTCTCTGGCTCCGGCCGCACGGATCCATCTGCAAGACGGGAGGAGGGTCACCCCCACCCCCAGGGAAACCGAGGAAAAGATTGCAGGAAAAGCAGACCCTGTGACAACGCGACACTTTTGTGTGCCGAAATCCTCAGGGAATCTTCTGCGAGTTTCCCTTGAGGACAGAACAAGAGACCGCGTTCCTGCTGCAGAACAAAGGCCTGCTGACCAAGGGACTTCTGGGGTCTCTGGGCACTCTGGGGACACCCAGGTCGAGCTGAGGGGCTGGGAGGGAGCCGTGGCCACTTCTGGCCAGGTGTCCGGCTGTTGGAGAAGGTGAGCCACATCACAGCCGCCCCTGGCAGAGCCAAGGGTCCTGGGGACTTTGCCTCATTAGGGCGGATTTCTGCCCCTCTTCTCAGGGTGTGGGGCCATGCAGGGCTTACCTGATCAGTGAGACCCCTGGGGGACCACAGAGACCATCCCACACGGACGGCGAGGCCAGCACCCCGGGGGTTGGAGCACAGAAAGGCACCGTGTTACGAACGACACGATTCCTGCGTGAAAACAACATTTGGATGGAAGTACCGGCCAATGGGAAGGATGCTTCTGGAAACCAAACCCCACTAACGGGGAGGTGGGCTCTAGGGCGTAACCGCAGACCTCGGCCCGGGGAGGTGAAGCAGGGACGTGGGAGAAACCGGAAGTGCTGTGGAGGATGGCAGTGGCGACGGCACTCATCTTGTTGAAGGAGCGACGGGGTGCGGACAGGACACGAGGAGGGCACAGGGAAGGCACGGGAGGGCGCACGTCGGCCCAGGAGCCCGTGGAAGGCAAGGGTGGGCCGCATCCTACGGGGCTTCCCAGGACAGAAATGGCACCGCTGACGTGTGGAAACCCTGAGGTTGCAGCTGGCATTGGATTTGGCAACACTTGAAGCAGAGCGAGTTTTCACGCTCTGAGACTACTTTGAACCCCAACAGAGACAGCCAAAGTGTCACGGGAACATGGGACTGAGAGTGCGCACGTGGGGGCGCCGCAGCAGCACTCCTCGGAGGCCCCCCGGAAGCTTCCCTGCAGCCGACCTCAAAGTGGCACCAAGAGCAACACTCCACGGGGGGCGAGCGCAGCCTTGGTCCCGGGGGCAGGACCACAGCGGCCCGAGTGTGAGGTCACAACCACGCACGCGGCCCAAGCAGCCGCGGCGGGAGGTACACGCTTACCGTCACCGGGAGTGGCTGCGGCCGGCACCGCCAGTCACGTGGGCGCTGGTGAGCTGGAGGGGGGGGGGTCTGGAGAGAGCAGCTGCAGGTGGTAGCAGGGGCCTCGCCCCGGGCCCCCTGGCGGGGCAGGTGCTCGGCTCGAACACCCCCTTGGATCTTCCGGTTTGGTTTTTCACTCTCAGAAGATT